TTCCGGAGTAGATTTGAAGAGTAGATCTTTGTATTTTTGATGTTTTGATCGATTATGATTATACTCTTATCTTATCCAATCATGTTAATAAGATTCCAGTCACCTATGTATATAGTGTTTTGACTTTTGAATGCAATTTTGTTAACCTGTAATATATATATGTATGATCCATAATTACACTCATTGTACATTTTGTTTATAAATTAGAAAAAGACAAATATAAGCCTTTCAAAAATGATGTCGCCATGCAATTTCGAAGACAACGACTTAAACCAAAAAAAGTAGAGATAATACTTAAAAACAATGACATCTTAAAAAAATTATTGTCCACACGCCCTCACTCTTGAAAGACCAATCATCCCTTTTAGCCGCTTCTATTATATTCTATTTAAATTTGTCATGATCATGGGCATATATCTAAGGTTTTCTACTTACAGACAAAAGTTTTTTTTTTCTGTAACAATGCATTGTATAAATTAAATTATTATTAAAATGATAACGTAACGTGATGATATTAGTGATTTTAAAATTTCTCTTAACACATTACATAAAAAAATCATATTTAATTCGGTTATCACCCGTATAAAAAATCGTAAGTTTTGGAACATTAATTCATAAGAAACTCAGTTCCACAAAAATCAAACCAATAACATGCCAAAATGAAACAAAGATTAGTTGACAATAAAAAACAACGGAAGGGAACATGTATTATTTTTGATCCACATAATTGAGAAAAACCATCCTTGACACATGGCATGCAGATTCATACCAAAGGGCAGTTTAGTAAAATAATGTTTAGATGCCCATTGGCACAAATTCCCCCAAAAAATTTCTATAAATACCAAAGCCGTTGAGTGTAAAGCTTTGCACAATCACACTTACTAAAGCTACTCATTCCTTCTTTCTTCATCTTATCTTTTCATCATTCACTAACAAAAAAACCAGAGAGATGGATCAAATGAAACCAGAGTTTCTGAAGAAATTGACCAAGTTCATAGTAGTTTTGATTTGGGTTTTATCTCTTTTAGTCACTCATAACTTCTATTTATATAGATTCACAATCCAACTCGTAACACATGCAATAGATAAGAGCTACATGTTCTTCCTCTGCAATGGTCTCTTAGTGTTTGTTGCTAAGTACTCTGGTTTGATTGTTTTGTCAAAACCAATAGAGGAAACTTGGAGTAATACCGATAAAACCTTTGATTACAGAGATTTCGAGAGTTACTATGCGATATCGGAGGTAGAGTATCACTCTGTTTATGGAAGAGTATTTACACATTTGTCCTTTCTTGCCAATGAAGTTACCGAAAACCTAGATGATTGTAAAACGGTGTCATATCCTGTTGATTCCTTG